GAGGTTCGGGGGTTCGGTTAGGAGTGAGGAAGGGCATACGCGCACCTCACAATCCTCCGTTTAAACACGGTTGCATACTTTAAAATTGGGGTTTTTAATTCAACTTATTTATTATGTTTATGTTTGAGTCTTAATAAGCAAGCTTGAAAAATACATGGACCGAATTGTGACAAATTTTAAACTTTTGGACTAAAATGGACAAAAAGCACGCACAATAACATAAACAAGAAGTTAGGGGACTAACTTGATTAAATTCAAAAGATAAAGGACCAATTTGATTAAATTCAAAATATAAAGGACTGATTTGGTTAAATTCAAAACATGAAAGACTGATTTGAAAAGAGTTGAAACATGTGGTCTAAATTGCTTAATCTTGAAAGTTCTGGGTAAAATTGAAACAAGGAAAGATAATTTTGCCTTTTAGCAAGATTAAAGGAAATTAAGGACTTAAATTAATTAACCAAGATAATTGATTTAATTAAATGATTAATTTATCTTTAATTAAAATTAATTAAAATTAATTAATCATATTTATAAATCTTTTTAATCAAGATAATTAAATAATATAATCACCTTAGATTAAGATCAATAAAAATGATTAATTTATTTTAATTAAAGTTAATTAATTTTATTAATCATAAACTAAATTAATTATCCTAATTAATTAATCCTTTTTATTTACATTATATAAAATTTTTTTTACTTTTTGTTTTAGTTTTTTTTTTTTACTGGACTGGGTCGGGTCGGGTCGGATCAAACCCACAACAAAACACAACCCAAAAACACAATCCTTCAAATAGATAAACACAAAACAGATCAAATCTTGAACAAAAACCGAAATCCAAACGACCTGAAGAGAAATTTAGAGTTCATCATTTTACTTCTCATTTTCAGCAAGAAACACATTCATCAGGTAAAATAAACAGAACAATCTTTTTTGATTTTTCATTCATTTTTCAACGAAACACATACAAACTTAAACCCAGATCTAAACAAAATCAACAGAAAATAACAGAAACACCCACGGCGGAATTTTTAGGAGGAGGTAGATCCAGATCGGAAGGGAGGGATCCCACCCACGGGACCAGGCTCCATTCGTCTCCTTCACTGCCCCTTCCCAAAAATCCCTCTGTTCAGGAGATTACCTAAGGCAAGAATACACTTTTGTTTTCCCACCTCCAGCGAGCAGAGTCGACCTTCTTTCCAAACTAAACTCCAAAATCAACCAGCAAAAGACCCCTCCTTCTTCTCTTCTCCTCAGAGTTTCCTTCTTCTGCTCTCAAAACTCAGAGGAGACTTCCCAGCAAACAGACCCCAAAATCAATACCCAAAACCAACCCCCCTAAAATCAATACCGACCCCCTTCAATCTGATTTTTCCTATATATATACCCAAAATAAAAGATAAAATAAATAATAAATAATGAAAAAAGGCCTTGCTCTGTCAATCAATAATGATGAAGATTTTCTGGCAGGTACTGTAGCGAGCAGAGGG